ATGCAGGTTTCTTAGTGGACAGGAAAAGCACCTCAGGTATGGCACACTTCCTTGGTTCATGTCTTGTGTCATGGGCTACCAAAAAGCAAAATTCTGTGGCCCTATCTACTGCTGAAGCTGAGTATGTTATTGCTGCTTCTTGTTGTAATCAATTACTATGGATCAAACAATAGCTGGTAGATTTTGGAATTGAAGTGGGATGTATTCCAATATTCTGTGATAACACTAGTGCTATAAGTATGACAAAGAACCCTATTCATCATAAGAGGACTAAGCACATAGATGTTAGACACCATTTCTTAAGAGATAACTATGAGAAAGGATTGATTTCAATAGAATTCTGTGCTATTGATAAACAAATAGCTGACATTTTCACTAAAACACTGAGTAGAGAAAACTTTGAGAGAAACAGGTTGGAATTAGGGATCACTAAGATCACCTAATAGGTCCAGTTCAGAATGCACAATATTAAAATTTTTAAAAAAAAATTGGTTAGGAGTTCTAACTTTGTGTAAATATCTAGATCAATTCTTACTCAGTTTCATAGTTTAATTAGTATACTCTTGTGACATGTGACTCACTGATCTCTTACAAAGTTTTTTCTATTTTGGCATTTGAGGCATGTTCAAGAGAGTTCTATATAAAGAACCTGGTTCATCAGTAAGTGTTCATCTGAAAAGCTCAGGTATGTTTTCTATACTCTGCACAATTAGAAAGATTATTTTTCCAATCATGAGCAGAAGTCCTACATTCATCAAATTCCCAGAAATTCTATCCGTTGAGCATTGAACCAGTTTCGTTCCCCTAGAACTCTAAAAACCGGGATTTTTGCCTAAAATCTAGTGATGCCTAATAATCACTAAGAGACCGGAATTACACCTTGATTAGACTTCTAATTGACCTCTGAAAAAGCTGTCGTTACTGCATTTAGTTCTAATCATCTTTAAATATACACCACATCTCTTCTTCATTAGTCCATAACCATCAAAACTCTTCTCAAGTTCCGATCGCCCTTCTTCTCTCCAAAAATTCCCAAATTTTTCTCAAGAAACAATCCACCATGACTAACCCCCAAGACAATCCTGGCACTCTCCCACCAGTATCCCCTTCTAATACATCCTCATCTACACCCCCTAGTGAAACCCCAAAACCTAGGTTTCGTAGGCAGAAAATATTGGCCAAAAAAACTGTAGCTTCTGTAGCTCTAAGAAAAGTTCTAAATGAGAAATTGAAGGCTAGCCAGAGGAAGGAAAGTCCTACTCAAGAATCTGACTCAAGCTCTGAGTCTGAAGCTTTTATTTCTGCCAGCGAATGTGAAGAACATGAGTCTTCTGACACTGACAAAATTCAAGAAACCCCTGGTGAGGTAAGTTATTGTGTGGTATTCTCTATTGTGGTTCAAAATGTAGAAAATAGGTTTGTCCTTGTTGGTCCTGTCAAAGATGTAAAGGGGGCTGAATCTAGTAGAAGTGGAGGTAAAAAGAAAGAAAAAGAGAGAGGGGGAGCAAGTGGTGATGAGAGGGGAAATGGGAAAGAAAAGTTTCTGGCTATATGTGGAGGTGTTGAAGAAGGTGACAACAAGTCAGGGGGAAGTGGTTCTGGGGAGGCGGCTGAAGGGCTTGTGCATCTAAGCAAGCAACAAGATGAACCTGGTTCATCTGCTGAGGAAACACTGGTTGATCTTCTGAAGAGGGCTGAGGCCAGTTATGATCCAAAGAAGCGTAAAGTTTCCACACAAAAGGCTCCAACTGCTTCCAAGCCAACAAAGAAAAGTAAAATGTCATCCCCAAAACCTATTATACCTTCAGTACCTAAGGGAAGAGCCACTAGAAGCAGGGTCAAACAAAGTGAAGCTGAGTTACAGAAAGCTCTGGAAGAAAGCAAGCAGAAAAAGAAGGAGAAGGGAAAAGCAAAGGTTGTGGAGAGTTCTGAGGTTTCAGAAGAAGAAGAAGAGGAGATGGAACTGGTCCATCAAAAAGGGGAACAACTGTGGAAGTTCCTACACCTAAACCAAAAAGGGTCAAGGCTTCTTCCAAGAAGTCTTCCTCTGAACCTGTATCTGCTGAACCCTCTTTAGCCAAAAGAACTAGATCTGCAGTGAAAGGTAAGCAGGTAAAAATTACTGAGGAAGAAGAAGAATAGAGTGGAGAAGAAGAAGAAGAAGAAGAAGAGAAATCTGAAAAGGAACAAGATAGGTTTGCCATCTTTGGCAGAAGAATTTTTTTGAAAGGAAGACTGTTGAGAGACCTGGATGAGAAGACTGGTGGATGCCCTAGCTGCACAAGGTTAGAAGAACATGGTCCTTGAAATGGATGGGAGGCTAGCTAGGAAAGAATTGATTGAGTTTATGGCCAATGCCATAGTGAAGAATGGGGTAGTCACCAATCTGGTGAAAGGAGGAAGGGTGCAGTTTGATGCACTCAAATTGGGTAAGATTCTAGACATACCTAGTGAGGGGTATGATGATTATACAAGGCAAAGGTGTCCATCTCTAGATTCTCTATCTACTGCTCTTCAAATCACTAGGAATTTTTGTGATGTCGCAACTGCTGAAGATGTGCCTGAAGCCAGGTTTGTGCAGAAAAGTGAGATGATGCCTGAGCACAAGGTCCTATTTGAATTTGTTAACAAGTGCCTACTTCCTAGACAGGAGAGGAGGCACACTGGCAACTACATGGACCTGGTTCTTATGGAGTGCCTTGTGAGAGGAATGTAGATAAATTGGTCTGCCTTTATTGTCAAATTACTGGACAGGGTCATAAATGCCTCCAAGGCTCATGCCACCCCATATGGGTTCATATTGACTACTGTTCTAGACAGGCTGAATGTGCCTTTGAAGAAATGGGAGATGACATCAAGCAAGGAACACTTTGGCATCAAGACTCTTTTGGCTTGTGACTATCCAGTCAATGCCACCCCAGTTGAACCTGGTTCATCTCTGAAGACACCTGTGAACAGCAAGGTTAGGGCTTTGGTTCAAGAGTGTGGATCTAAAGATGCTGAAATTGCTAGGCTCCAGGCTCGTGTAGCTGAACTGGAAACTGAAAGAGATGGCCTTAGAACTGAGCTAGCAAAAGAAAAGGAGAAGAGTGATGGGATGCTTCAGAATATGCTCAACCTTCTCCAAACCCAGCCCTCTAGTTCCTCCAAGCCTTAGGATGTACAGTTGTTGTCTTTTGAACCAGTTTAGTACCCCCAGTGACCCAGATTAGGGACTTTTTCTATTTTTTTGCTCATGTTTTGGAAGTTTTTCTTTCTTTTTGTGGTTTGTTGGTGGAAACATATCTTATCAATGACAACTGCTGTTTCTCTTGTTCTATGAAGATTCTAATCTTAATAGTTTGAATATGTTTGTTGATTATTGATGATTTTATCCATGTTTTCACTTGCAGTTGCCTAAGTGGCCATGAGTAATTACTAAAATTTGGGATTCACAATGTATGCAACTTTTCGATGATGCCAAAAGGGGGAAGAGATATTGTGCTTTACTCTTTATTTTGAATAATGTGATATTTATAACCTAACTAAACCTGGTCCTTGATGATAAGTTAAAATTCTAAGTTAATGTGTTGATGGTCAACCTGAGTTCCTACATATTCTTTGATTAGTAAAAGCACAGAATTTGTCATCATCAAAAGGGGGAATTTGTTGGCCCAAGTTCAGGTGAAGTTTTGAAGAATGACAAATGAACTCAGTCATGAACCAGGTCCATCATGTGAGGCACAGTATTTATCAACCTAGACATGTAAGATACACGTGAAAGAGATAAGTCTTAGTGATCAAGAAGCAATATCTCTTGAACTGATCGAAAATGTTGCATATTGGATAAGGAGAGAAAGTCTCTTTATGGGAAGAGGACACAATCCGGATAATTGATAGGGTTGGAGTTTGTATTGTACAAGGACTCAACTTCGATGGAAGATCAGCAATTGAGTCTCAATCAAACTCTGACTACTAACTCATTAAATAATAGTGATTGTTCTCTTTTACAGGTGTTGCACATACGCAGAAGTTAAACTAAATTGAGAGCAAACGAGCAAGGCAATTTTGCGAGCAATTTATGTGAGATGTAAGTGTGCACACCTGAAGCTACTTGAACGAGATAGAAGAACCAGTTCCGCTGTGTTTAGTCTTGTTCTAGTTCAATTGTAGAAGGTGGTTTAAAGTTGTACCTTTTTAGCTTTCATAGAAGTATTTGTAATAGGTACTTTGAGTGTTCAAGTTATAGGCTAACTTGAAGGTGTCGCAACAGCTGAGGCTGTGTGCTACATAGGGATTAGAGTTAATCCTTAGGTTTACAAAGAGGTTTTGTAAATGCTGTTTTAGCTCAGTGAGTTTAGTGGATGTTTGGGAAAATCTTACTGAGTAATGGGTCGTGGTTTTTTCACCTTTTGAACCAGGTATTTTTCACGTAAAAATCTCTATGTTCTTTATTTTCTGTACTTTTAATTCCGCAACAATAGTAGTTAGAACACCTAGAAGAACCAGGTTCTTCTAGATCGAAAAATTGGGTACCACACAAATTACCCCTCCCCCCTCTTGTGTGGTATTGACGTTTAGAACATCAAGTTGTCTAGGGAATATTGAATCCTGTGGATAATATCTTGTGAACTGCTGGCGTCTTTCCTGATACGAAGTTCGTATTTGGGCATTGGATTTCTGAGTTTTTGAGCTGCAATATTCCTTGTTTCTGCTGAGTTAGCTACTGTATTGGGTTGGCAGCTGCTCTGCTGAGTTAGCTGCTGTATTGGAGATGAGATTTAAAAACCTAACACTTTAATTCTTTGATGTGTCAATGTGTTGCTGGAATCTTCTCTCAAGGTTTCATTCATTGGTTGAAAAGGATGCAAGTTCTCAGTAATGAATTTCGTATACCAGATTGTTAAACCCCAACAAAATTAAATTCAAGTCTATCAACTTAGGATTGGAAGGCCCATATTCCTTTCAGATCATCTATGGAATTTGTTTGATTAGGATAAAGGGATTTGACGAATATGACTAGATTAAGTTACAACATCATAACCAATAAACTATAAACATAAAATTATTGTTAAATTTTACAATAGTGAAATCCATATAATTTTGACAATAAGTGACTTTTTTCTATCTTTCTTATTATTTGATTTTTTTATTAGGAGTATATAAACTAATTTTATACTAGTTGTTTTAGATGGTCGAGAGAAGATGTACCTCTTGATGTTATTGTATGCTAACTGATGCACAACATTCACAAGATACAGTTATGGAAACATCAGAAGAGGAGGATGATGTAGATGATACGGATTGGGATTGGATGGAGGCTGATGATTGGGGAAGAAACTTCTGATTTTTATTTGTATTTTTTATCTTCATTGTCTTCTTTCGAACACTTTTTTGTTATTGTGTATGCTTTTGGAGTTTTTAGTTTGTTTCAGTTTCAAGGTTTTGTAATATGCTAAGTACTGGAAACTATAGTCCATACATGAAAGCTATTTTAATATGTTATAGTTCAAGCTTAATTTGTTTCATTCCAAGCTTTTATAATATTCAAACAACTTTTGTTTTAAATTTTCACTTTTTGCGTATGACCTTGGCATTTGATAACTAATATGCCATCTCCAGAATTGGAGGCCATTGTATGTAGTGGTATAATATATCCATTGTGATGTTTGGTAACTAATCTGTCATCTCAAGAATTGGAGGCTATTGTATGCAGTAGTATAACTCTATAGTGTTGTGCCAAATTGTAAATATTCTGGTGCTTCTTTTGTTCTTCTAGTGCTTAAGCAAGCAGAAGTGATCTTGAACAGATAAGACTTAAGACAAGAAATAAGACTTAAGTCAAGATAATAGTTCTGGTGCTTCTTTTGTTCTTCTAGTGCTTAAGCAAGCAGAAGTGATCTTGAACAGATAAGACTTAAGACAAGAAATAAGACTTAAGTCAAGATAATAGTTCTGGTGCTTCTTTTGTTCTTCTTTCACTTTGTTGTTGCTGCATATATTCTGCCTGATGTTGTTGTTATTTTATCTTCTTTCACTGTTTTTCTTTGTCATCACTGCTGCTTTTGTTTTAAATTCTGTTCTTGCATATGACCATTGTTTTCATTTTTTAATTTGGTTTTTCCTTGTATTGCAATCTGAAACCATTACTTGGAAACCATCATATATGCATCTTTTCCAACTTACCATGTGAGACTCAAGTTTACTCTGAAACTATCATATGCTGCGCATTGCCATAGTTTACTCTTAAACTATCATATGCATATCCTTAACTTATCATATGAAGCTGCACTTTATTTGAAATTCTACTGTTGTCATTTATATAATACCTAATAAAGCTATTTTTATTTGTATTCTTCATCAGATTTAATAGATATGAGTCAAGAAAGACCTTCAAAGCTCAAAAGAAAGACAAGCGCAATATACACAAAACCTGGAACAATGACATCTTTGGCAAACCAAATAAGGACTTCGTTTAGCCAAAAATATATTGTTCCCGCTAGACAATCAAACAAAGAGCGGTCGAATATTATTGTAGAGAATCTGCCAGGAGTAGTAGCCCATGCACAAACTAGATCAACCACTTCTGCAAAATATGTTGCTCCTGCTAGACAATCAAACAATGAGCGTCTGAATATCATCGAAGAGAATCTGCTAGTGCCACAATATTCAGAAGTAGCAGCCCATGTACAAACAAGATCAACCATTCCTACAACACAAGTAATAGAGGAACAAGTAGAGGAACAAGTTCAGTTGGATTCTACAACTCTTGTTGAAGATGAACAATGTGAAGAACAAGGTAAGAACCTATAGACTTTATCTAAAAATATTTACATCCTATTTCAGTCATAAAAAATGTACCAACAATAGTGATTTGGTGGTTTTGTTTTGTTCGAATAGTTGAAGGCCCTTCTAATCAAACAAGAAAAAGAGGAAAAACAAAGATGAAAAGTGTACATGGACGACATGAGCGTAAATTGATTTTACTTAACAACTTAAATCAACCTGTCAGTCTTAGTGATGCAGTTGTGATAGAATTTGGAAGCTTCTTCGGCACATTGGCAAGGAATGCGACTCTATGTCCTCTTGATATTTTGGATTGGAGGAAGATGGACACAAAAGAGGATATATGGGAATATACCAAGGTCTGAACTTCTTAAGTTTTAATTTTTGATTGAAAATCTTTCATATTTTCTGCACTAACAGATTTGACACCAATTGTAGGANCGTCTAAACTTCTTAAGTTTTAATTTTTGATTGAAAATATTTCATATTTTCTACACTAACAGATTTGACACCAATTATAGGATAAATATGATATTCCTGAAGCTGTAAAAAAATATACTTTTGAATCAGTTCAAGCTGCCTGGAGAAAACATAAGAGTAGATTGAAAAAAGATCACTTTGACCCCTATAAAAGTGATGAAACTCGAATGTAACATATCCCTGAAGATGTTCCAGTTTCTCAATTTAAGGAACTCCTTAGGTATTGGAACTCTGAGAAACTCCAGGTATGTGACTTTTTACTTGTTCTTTTTCATTTTCTTGAACTACTTCTTAAAGTTCTTCTTCTTCTTCTTCTTCTTCTTTTTCTTTGTCTTTCTAGTTTTCTCCTTCTTCTTGGCCATGGTTGTTGTCTTTCCCTTCTTTATCTGCTTCAAGGATGCTGCTGTAAATATTTTCAATTGCTAGATGGTACATTATAGGAGTACATCCGATTCATTCCTTCCTTTAAATTACATATAAACATTCTCAAAATATCTATGGAGAAGCTCTTTTCCCTAGTACCTGGCCGTAGGCTTCTGCTGTAAATCTTTTCAATTGCTGGGATTAAGGCTTTTGGAGCAGTTCTATTAGAATAAAAGAACATTATTTTAACAGAAAGCATTAATGAGATTGCTACTTTTCATGTTTATTGTTGTACAAAACATTAGCAGAATTATGGGCCTGCTCATCGTGCATCTTCAATGTTTCATTGCGCACCTTCTGCACCTTCTTTTTCTTCTTCTCTATTGATGCCTTTGAAATTGGTGTATTGATATTTTGTGCATTGGTAGGACTGGTATTTTGCTCATCACAAGCCTCGTAATTGTCCAGTGAATCAACTTCGTTCCCTTTCTCCTCCTCAACCTGATCTGCCCAGCTTTTGGATACATACTCGTCTTCATCTTCTTCATATTTAGTCTGAATCATAATCATATTCTCCTTCTTTATAAACAATCCTTTCCTTAGGCTTTTTTGTTGCTGAAGACATCATCGGCAGTGTTTGTTGATGGTGTGATAAGTGTATTGAGTTCTCTGATCGACCAACAAGGTCATTAGATGGTATTTCATGTTTGGAGGTATGTTTTTATTTTCATTCTTCTTCTTCTTCTTCTTCTTCTTCTTCTAAACATCCAAAAAGCGCTGAAATGTTGCAGAATGTTTTTCAGAAAAATTCAGCCCCGTTTCTGCCCAAATTCTACCCAGATTCTACCTAATTTCTGCCCAGATTCTGCTAAATTGTTGTCTATGCCGTATTTATTTACTGGTGAGTGCATTGAGAGGATTCAAATTCTCCAGTATTTTAGCTCCTACTGTCGTGAGGTTACCAGATATTGTAGTCCAATCCCCCGCCATATTTTTCTCCTCTTTGATGCCCAAATTATGTGCATTCAGTTTGGCTATAGATCTGTTAGCATTCCCAGCAGAATTAGCATTGCCACTGAGATGTGGTGCTCCAGTTGATTGTACTGCTTCTTGCCCTTTTTTATGCACCTCGCCTACTAGTTTTTTAACTAAATCAACAAGTAGATTTAGGATCCCCATCAGTAGGTCAATCACCAGTTGCATTTAATGCAACAGTAGCCTCAACTTTGAACATACAATAGCTGCTTCAATTTCAGATTTCTCATGTCCTACTAATACATTTGTTGCATGATTTGAAGATAGCTTCACCACAATAGCTTGATGCAATCCCTCCTCCTTTGCGAATTCCATCCGTTTCTTCATTGAAAACTGAATTGTTGGAAATCCATGTATAACTTCAATAGGTTTCAAGTATTTTTGGTTCAAAGTAGCGGTTGTTTTTGCTTGGTACAGGCGTGCAACATATGTATTTTGATTGCTATTGTTTTGGATGCTTTCTTCAATAGTTGGAGGGGGCTCTCCCACAGCCAAAGGCTGGGGAGAGAGAGGAGCAGCCATGGCTGCCTTAGTTCACCATTCTTGTCACTAGAGAGAGGAGAGAGGAGAGAGTGTAGGTGTGGGTTTAACAGGAAGCATTATATATGACTCTGGTACCTTTCTGTTTGATATTTTAACATGAAGCATTATATATTTCATTGTTTGATGTTTCTTTTTGTTTGCAGAGAATGTCTAAAACTAACATTGAGAATCGAAAAAAGTTGAAGAATCCTCACACTGCTGGAAAAAGAAATTTTGCTTTAGTTCGCTCTAAGTTGGTGTGTAACTAGCAAATCGTGGCAAAAAAATTTCAATTTTAGCTTTTGTTTAGTTCATGGCAGATCACTAGGAATGCTAACTCACTTTCATGTAACTAGGAAAAAGACAAGGAAACTTCGGATCCTTTATCAGCAAAGAAAGTCTTTGTTTCTATAAGGAAAAGAAAAGTTGGGCGATCATACAAGTCCTCAGATGAAGATACAACTAGTAAAATTGTGCGATTATATTTAATTAATATTATATCGAGATCAATTATTTGTTTCTATTTGGTTATTTTTATTTAGTTGAATTATATTTTTTTGAATTTGCTTTGTAGGCTAAAATGGTGGAAATTGAAGCACAACAAAACGAAAATGGCAATGAGTCCGTAGAGGCATTTGCATCTGTCATGAGACCTGAAGATCCGGGACGTCTGAGATTGTATAGACGGGGGNACGTCATTGGGTGATAATTCATTGGGAGAAGCTTCATCTGCTCAGCAAACAGCATTGCAACCAATCTGTCGTCCATCTACTGGTACCAACAAAGAAGGCCAACTCATTCCAGGTATTAACTCATTGAAAATTTAATAATTTTTGTGAGATCTACTGTCTTAGTTTGGTACTTCATGTGCACATTCTGTATATTCTGGGCCATGCCAAGTGCCATCCAATCATATGCAACATCCTTGAGAGTGATAAGTTAAGTTTTGATAGTTTAAAATCATAAATAGTTATAAAAAGAGAGTTCAGATTGTGGAAGCTAGCTATTTTCTTTTTGTAGCCAGAAATTGGAGTAGAACGGAAAAGGCCTAAACCTATCACTATCCTTTTTCTTTTTAATTTTTCTTGTTTTGGGTGATTGCAGCTTATTTCAAACTCAATTAATGGCTGAAAGTGCATTATGACAACATAGAATTCTTTTTGCCCATGAAACAAGATTTAAGGAAGCATTTTAGGTTCACAATAAGTATTTTTAGCATATATGTATGATATGTGGAAGGATCTTAGGTTCTGAAAAGAAATTGTATCATGTTTTAAGCAGGTTGAAAATTATGGAATAGTCATTGTTTCTAACATTTAAGAGAAATCTTTTATGTTCATTCAGGTCTATTTTCCATCAGCAAGGCCATGGTTTAAACTTGGTAGAAATGCATTATCAATTTTAGTTTTCTGTTATCAATTTTAGCAAACTCGCACTATGGAAGATTGTGTCTGGATATATTTGATTATAGTACTTTGTTGAGTGATTTTGTAGATCCCAAGTGACCTTGGTGGATTTCTGTGTAGCGTTGCTTATTTAGCCAAGTTTTTGTGTAGAGACATAATTGTGTGATGATTCAACTTATGAAAATTAATAAAAGGTATTTTTGAGGACAAACTCGAGCAGTCTGGGAGCCTTGCTTAAAATAATGTGTGTTTCACTCAATGCCAAGTTGATTAGGACTACAGAAGGCTTGGGGTCCTATTATCTGTTACCCTCTAAATTACCTGCCTTCTACTCCCTATTCCTTATGTTTTATATGGTGGTTTAGGGATGTAACGATACTGATGAATTGTCTTTTCTTGGGACTAGTCCTGCCCAAGTTTTATCTGCTACATCTAACTAGGGAAGTACTACGACTACTACTATACTACGACTACAACTACGTGGTGTTCTATTGTATGTTGATAAATTTTATATGCTACATCTATCTAGGGAGTACAACTATGTATTGTATGTTTGTCTCCTTCTATAATTGAAATACTGAAAAGTTGTGTGAGGAGCAATAAGGAGATACTTGCAGTGTCTCGAAAACTCTATCTAGTGGCGCCATCTGAATGACTATGTAAATTGAACATTTTATCAGAAGCCATTGTTTATTCTAAGTCTTTCTACAACAGGGTGATGCAAACCGAGTGGTGACAGACCTCAATGCAAAAATTGCCTGTCACTACCTCTTGTTTCCATAGCAGAACAGTATGTTTTGTTTGGCTAAAATTTTCAAATTTCCTTAGTTTCAGAACAACTTTGGAAAAATGAATGATCAGAGAAGTGCTATAAGAGTTCAAAGGCCTGTGTTTGGCCAATATATCTGAGGGCTGTCTTGACAAAGAGCCTTTTGTCAATAGTAAATAACCAGTTTGTGTCTCGTTAATATCTCAAAAAATAATTTTACTTAAATATTCATTTTTATTTATGTATAAAAATTACATTATAAAAGATGATACTTAGAAATACTGTAACTTTACTTTGTCGTCACATGTCATGTTTGCCTTGGAACTTATCGTATGTATGTTCGCGCTGAAATGGCAATCTAAGAATAGATTGATCTACGCCATGTTACCATATAGTTTTGTTACTTCCCTAGTTAGATGTATCTTCTTATGTTTTCTGATTTGGATATGCACCACAACAAGGATAATGATGTTTTGAGCAGGTTGAAAATTTTGGGATAGTCGTATTTACAAAGGAAACTCTGCCGAAAAATTTAAGAATTTAGAGCGTTTGAAAATTTTGGAGTTATCAAATTGGTCATTCAATTACTTTATGATTCAATTATCTTTTAAAAAATTTATTTAATTATTTCTGGTTGTCTTTTGTAGGTGCAGCGATTGCGGAAGAAAGCAGTGACGAAGACCTTACTTGAGTTTTGTTAAACTTTCTATCATCATGTTCAAAGATATTTTAGTTTAGAACTTTTTGTTTGCAAACTCATCTATTTTGACTTTTGAATTGTTGATCAAACAATGTATTCACATTTTGTTTTTGTATATGAGTAATGCTAGTTGAATATTTTAATTTTATTTTGTGATTTATATAAGTTATGAGGTAAAAAATTTCATTGCATAGGAAAATATTCCTCATTTTGCTTCCATAAATATCAGAAATTCAATTGTGAATTGTTGCAATATAGCATATAACCGTTCCAGTAGACCTAGCAAATAATAATAGCATCCCCTAATAACTGTTGCAATATGTTACAATACCCGTTGCAGTAGGGTATTGATAATTGTTCCAATATCACAAAAATCATTGTAATATATCATCAAAACCGTTGCAATAGACTTAAAAAATCGCTGGAATAATTATACCACAATGGTTTATAACCGTCCCAATAGAAAATACAATCGTTCCCATAGATAGAACAATGGTAACAGTACCATAACCGTTACAATACCCCCTATATGGTGACGGTTTTGAAACCGTTGCAAATAACCGTTCCAATAGACCTATTGTAACACTGAATCCCGGAATGCCTCCAAATCCGTTCCGATATCCCTATAGGGACGGCCAGTGTATCTATTGTCACGGTTTTGGAAGGGTTGCCATAGACCTAATTTCTAGTAGTGGGTATTGTTGTAATTTATTAAAAATGCATAGATGAGGCAATATAAAAAATTTGATGAAGTTGAAAGTGAATTAGACTAGTTTTGAGTCAAAATGCATTACTAATAACATATACTAATATTTAAAAATTTAAGCGAAAAAGATTTTTTTTTCCCAATGGGTATGGTTGAAATTCATTGAAAACATATAGATGAAGCAATATACAAATTTTGAGCAAGATAGGAGGTAATTTGAACTGATTTGATATCAAAATTCGTAGTTAAAATCGAGTCTATATCTCACATACAAATAACCATCGATATACATGTGATACATATTTGATACATATGTGATACATATGTGATACACATATTATCTTTTTCCATGTTCATCTTCTACTTTGAATTTTCAATTCAAACTGCCTCAAAACTCCACCAAATCTTCCCAAAATTGAGATTCAAACTCTTTAAGATGTATCCAATCTATTCCAATAACGCCCACTAAAAAAATTAATATTTTTTTGGCTACAAATAGCTAATTGGCTAATATTGGTTGCATTTGACTAATTAGTAATCCCTCAATTTTAATTTAGATGAGTAGTTTGACTTGACACAAAATTTAAGGAATAAAAGAAGACTTTTGAATATGGGTGGGCATTCGGTATTTTCAGTTCGGTATTTAAGAATTTCGGTTCAGTATTTCGGTATTCGGTTTATCAATTGTATATACCAAATACCGTATCAAAGTATTTCGGTACGATTCGGTATTTATTATTTTGGTTCGGTACGGTTTCGGTTTAATATTCGCTGAGAAAGAACAACGAAATGCTGTTTCTGTTAGTAACTGTCACTCGTTATTACTTATTCAGTTATTAGTGTTGAAGGAAGTAAGGACCTGTGCAATCAAAGTACCAAAGAAAATATGCACTTAAATTAGGACGTGTAGAATAACTTATAACAATTACAGAATGAGAAATATCTGCACTTAAAAGAAAATCACTTTCACAAAGCCAATGTAATTATAATTTGGCAAAACACTCATTAGCCTAATATATAATGGAACTTGCGCTCCCACAATGACACTAATATAATTAGCTAACTCCGATATGCTTTGACAAAGACAAAGATCCTAGCTCTCCAATAATAAAATTAAACTTTTGCAACTAACAAGAATTGGAAAAGATAATAGAATTCAATTAGTTTTGTCAATTGACTAAAATCACAATGTACCAAGACATTGCCTCTATAGTCATCAGATGCTTAGACAAGATAAGATGAAAACAGGAAAAGAGAACTGAGATTCGACAAGTCTAAGTAAGCCATCTTTAGAGTGGGCTTGGGCAGTTGGGCTGGGCGATGGGCTGGGGCACTGGGAATTAAATTAAAACGTTTGGGCTTGGGCGCTGGGGCTGGGCAGTGGGTAGTGAGATATAGGTCCACCTTTAAAAAAATATCTTTAAAAATTCAGTAATTCGGTATTTCGGTATACCGAAATTTTAAAATTCTAATACGGAGGACCGTACCGAAATACCGAAAATGCAATACCGAACTAGACCGAAATACCGAAAAAAACCGAAACCGAAATACCAAATTAATTCAGTCCGGTTCGGAATTCGGTTTTTCGGATTTTATGCCCACCCCTACTTTTGAAACATATGGTGCTAAAAGATTAGCGGGGCTATAAAAGTTTCTCATTAAGTGGAAAGTGGGTAGAATTACGGTGTTCATAAAAATCCGAAAAACCAAACCAAGCCGAAAGCCAAACCAAACCGACCAAAAAAACCGATACTTTTTGGTTTGGTTTGGTTTTGGTTTTGAAATTTAAAAACCGATCAAATTTGGTTTGATTTTGGTTTTAATAAAAAAAACCGAACCAAACCGAATATAGGAGTAACTATTTTAAATTTAGAATTACACCTATATATATGTATACTTTTATACAAAGTTTCAAAAATTTTATAGTAAATGTTAATCGTTTGCACTTTTAGTACAGTTCTTTACCTTTACATTCTAGTTTGATTGGTAGTTTTCTTTTGTTAAGTGTAAGAATCTATTTCATGTTAAAAATAATATATTTTTAATTGAGTCCTTAAATTATTCATCACTATTTGATTCAATTAT